GTAAAAAACTGTTTTTTCTGGTACATAGTAGTGCTTATAACCATTGCTGCTTAAAGGTTCTTATAACCTGCAGCAAAGGGACTGGATTCGCATGTAACCCATCACAAAATGTGCCTATGATGGGTTTGCCAACCCAGTGCTCCAACTAGTTTCGTGAATGCCGGTATGGGCTGGCTCGAACGTGGGCATACCTCTGCAGGGATTCCATTCTCAACTCCGGCACACATTCATCGTAGTCCTCCTTCACGCTTTGATGCAGAGGGCTCGGAAGTTTCAAAGGCAAAGCTTACAATTGTCATCTTCAACATTTGTCTTTTCGAGATGTCCAAAATTGTTAAAGCCTATACGCATCTCGACTGGTACCAGTATATATTTTTGGGTCGAAATCCTCTCTTAAAACTAGGTGAAATTGTGATTATCAAAACAAATCAAAAATTTATTCGGGCCAGCAGCCCAACAAATCAAACAAGATAAACAAGTGCGTATGGGCGCAAAGTATTAAGTCACAGAAAACCAATGCGCTCTGGCAAAAGTGGACTACTTCTAGTTTTCAGACGAGAAACCAGCTTCAAAAAAGTAAGAAAAATACAAAATTTTTCGGGAGGGAATCCAAGTCTTAGCGATGCCGTCGCGTCACTCATTTCAAATGAGCGATGCGAATTCGCTGAGATAAGCAAAGATCGCGGAGATCTCGCTGAGCTAGGTATGGCCTTAGAGAAAACGGTCAGCGATGCGTCGCATCGAACAACTACTCAGATAATCGCGGGGGACAGGCGGCCATGCGAATTTTGAGCAAGCGGGCACAGGAAAAATAGTTTGCTGATTTCCGGCCCGCTTGCAGAAATTTGGAAGGATGTTGACCAATTTTCAGAAACGCTTGGAAAACTATCGCGGTTTTCCTATTGATTAGTTGCGGCGCCTTGGCCGCATTCTCGCGGACTTTCCGCGAGAATATGCAAAATTATTGACGGCCGCGCGGACCTTTGTGGAGGACCGCATAGCCCTCAGGTACTTTCCGCTGAGAGAAACAACCTCATGAGTAATTAACCATCGATGACTCCTCTGCAGCATAGAGTCTCACATTTGCTCGACTTAGGCCCGAAACTGCTTAAAAAGAGTCGAGCGCCTGCTGAAAGTTTGGCCAGCGCTCGCTGAAAGAGATTACTTGACGAGCGCCCGCAGAATACTCTGTATTCTGTCCTTCGAAAATCTGCAAGCGTACCGCAAGAAATCAGCGGATACTAGCAGGACATTTAACAGTAAAGGAGGTATCGCCCGCTGAAGGTTTGGCCACGCCCCAAAATTCTGTTGACCGCCTGCAAGAAAACGCGAGCTCAGACAATCGCTGGGGGCAGGCGGGCACCGGAAAAATAGATTGCTGATTTCTCGCACCCCGCTCGCGGATTTTTTGCAAAGCAATCAGGAATTTTCGGAAGACCGCTTGCCGAGTCAGCGGATTTTTGAGAGACCGCCTGTTGAATTTTTTTCGCTCTTATCTTTTGCAGATATATTGCTGATTCTCTGAGAAATCGAGAACTCAGCAAGCGGTCTTCCGAAAAGTCCTGATTGCTTTCCAAAAAATCCGCAAGCGGGGTGCGAGAGATCAGCAATCTATTTTTCCGGTGCCCGCCTGCCCCCGGCGATTGTCTGAGAGTTTGCGGACCGCCTGCCCCCGCGATTATCTGAGTGGCACGGCCGATGTGCGCAGTTGGCGAGCGTGCTTCAGACGTGTAACACTTGTGTTTTCGCATTGCGACGCGATGGATTCGCTGCGCGGTATAGCGTCGTGTAATGTCCTGCCTGCGCAACGTCTCAAAGAATTGCCGGGGGTAGGCGGCCATGCGATTTATAGGCAAGCGGGCACCGGAAACATAGTCCGCTGATTTCTTGCGGTCCGCTTGCAGATTTTCGAAAGAATGCTGGCCACTTTTTAGACGAACGCTCAATGAACAATCGCGGCTTTCCTGCAGATAGGCCGCGGCGCATACTCGCAGTGGCCGCATACTCGCAGACTTTCCGCGGGAATATGCAAAATTATTGGGAGCCGCACAATCCTTTGTGAAGTACCGCACAGCCGTAGGTACTTTCCGCTGAGAAAAAAGTACCTCAAACTCGGGTAATTAAACCATCGATGGCCCTCTTTTGTGTAGGGCGTTACTTTTGCTCGGCGTACATCCGTTACTGTGTAAAAGAGTCGGAGCGCCTGCTGAAAGTTCGGCCCGCGCTTGCTGAAAGAGATTATTTGACGAGCTCCTGCAGAAATTGCAGTACTGCTGCCCGCTGGCACAATATGCGACAGTAGAGGAAGTACCGCCCGCTGAGAATATGGCCACGCCCAAAATTTTGCTGACCGCTTGCAGAAAAGCGCGAGTTTGCGGACCACCTGCCCCCGGCGATTATCTGAGGTAGACTCGCCCGCATTGACTCATCGACGGCACTGGAGGAGACTTGGGAGCAGAGTCAATCGTTATAAGGCAATCAGGGACTCTCTCTCTTACGGTCCCCTTTCCTCTCTTTAAAGGTACCAAGACCCTTCTCCCTTTCACTTCACTCTACTCCCCCCCCCCCCCCCCAACGCATTTCTGCGCTTTTGCCGTTCTGCATTAAAGAATGTTATATCACCTCAAAGTATGCCAATGGACCTCAACTATACAGTAGAAGTCAGAGGAAGAGAAGTCTACATATAAATTGGGAGATAACAAGTAGTGCTCAATTCTCAAAGTCTCCCAAATTAAATCTGCGTAGATTGGTTGAGCAAAAAAATCTCTGGCTGTACTGTACTGTGGTCGCAAAAAGATTTAGCTTGACACGACATCAATTTAAGTCTGCCGAAATTTGGACTGTAACCTACCTAAATGCTGGGATGAACATGAAATAACAACTAACAAAGAATGCATGTTTGGTCGAAGTGGCCTTTTCAGATGGGACGTATAACGTATTAAAGGGCATAAATTGCTGATTCCAAATTTGCCTTTCTTATCAGCAGAGCGTTTATGGTCAAGAAGTTATGAGCTCTTATTAAAGCAAAAATGTGAACGTGCAGATAGGACAAAGATAGCGTAATACTTTTTCTAGCTCTTTAATGTAGCAGTGATAGTCATCAGAGCACAAAAACACACTCAACTAAAAAATCTATCACACTTGGTTGCATTATTTGAGGGTGGTAAGATTTTAGCAACTCATTTTATCCATAATGCACATTCAATTTTTGGCTTAGAAACGCTCATAACTTTTCGTGCATAAACGCTCTGCAGATAAGGAAGGCAGATTTGGAGTCAGCGTTTTGTGCCCTTTAATATGGTACACATCTCATTTGAAAAGGCCTTTCTACTAAACAAGCTTCTCTTGTAAAAAAATTCAGAAAAACAGAGCAATCACTTCAGCGGTTGCAGTTGATTTTACAACAATTTATTGTCAATCACAGATAAGAAATTGCAATGAAGTGAATTTTCAGGATAGTACCGCAATACAGCAAAATTGCAGCGATCGAGTCTCCATGGCTTCGAAGAGATTTAGGGCCGCATGCACTAACATTGCCGCGGGGAGGGGATCGCAGCTTAAAAGAAAGCTTAATATTTCGAAAATCCAGATAACTGGACTTCACTTTGTGTACCTATCCGTAAGTATTCCTACTATCCTTCACTAAGAACATGCTGAACAGGAGCGAGAAGCTGTACGAACCGCATTTTCCAGCTTTTGTATGGTCCCTGATGATCCCCGGCGCTTTTCTTTGAAGTCATTTTTCTCCGAAGTTAACGAAAAACTTCCAAAGTTGTGCAGATTATCTAACCCAACAGTGCTAAGCATGTTGCTGATAAGAACAAATGATATTCTGAAGTCATGAAATTTTCGGTGATCCACGGGTCGAAATTTGGAGTTTACCGAAAAAATCGATTTTTCAAAAATTCATTGGTTCTCATCACCAACATGCTTAGCACTGTTGTGTTAGATGTTCAGTACAACTTTGGAAGTTTTCGTTAACTTCGGAGAAAGAAAAATGACTTACAAGAAAAGCGCCGGGGATCATCAGGGATCATACAAAAGCTGGAAAATGCGGTTCGTACAGCTTCTCGCTCCTGTTCAACATGTTCATAGTGAAGGATAGTAGGAATACTTACGGACAGGTAGACAGCGTAAAATCCAGATATCTAGAGCTTTAGAATATGAAGCTTTCTTTTGAGCTGCAATCCCCTCCCCAGCGGGATTGCTAGTGCATGCGGCCCTTAGATGCGACACAGATAGGACTCCCCGTTTTTTGAAATCTTTTGTCCATCATAAAATCAAAATCCACAAGCTATACAATAACACCAATTTTTGCACAGATATAGCTGGCCATTACCAAAGCACAGCTAGATTGTATAGACCTTATGGAAAACATTACAAAAGGGTTTATAAATTATTGACTGTCATCGTTGGTAAAAATATGCGCTTTTGTCGTGTATGTGAGAGGAAGTTTGAAAGTAGGATTTCAAGGTTATTCGGTACATTCAACATCTTTATCACTCATACGTGACTTCAATAATGTTTAAAATCTCTGATGTTTTTTGGGTTTACAGATATAGACTGACCGTTTGCTTGTCGCAGCCCTCAGCCAGTCCGTTCTGTTTGTTTTGTATATATATTGGTTTGTTTATGGTCATTAATAAAGATATGCGCTTGCCTCTGCTATTCGATTTTCTTCTGAGCTTGAGGTCTATTATTCACATCCCCTCCCCTTCTTAAGACCCTGCCCCCACCGTAGTTGTTTCCTTTACGCACCCCATTGCGACAGTTGCATCAAACGCTTGAACCTACTCTGAGGCAGTTAAAGGGAGGTCAGAGACTCGAAGATGCTGATGCCAACACAGCTCAGCTGAGGTGAGTCGGACTACGCTGTTGATAGATGACAATTGCCATTTTCCTATCCTCAAACGCTGTCTGAGTACGTCTATGAGGAGGTGCAAACCTCCGCTTACGAGAAGTTCTTTAGATTTTGCTATAATGTTAGAAATACTGCATACCTCTCCGTTTAGCGCTGGCAGTAGTAAAGCACCCATTGCTACATAAATGAGAAAGGCAATCAACAAGGCGAGAGAGGCGACTTGAATCGATGATTCCTGTAAGCAGCATGCTGAAATGTTACTTTACAAGTAGCGCAGATCTTGCACGCTATACACCAGTCGCCCGATTTCCAAATGAGGTTCGCTACACCACTGACGAAAACGTGCACCTATTCAGATGCGAGCTCACGGCTATCTCGGGATCGCTGTTCTTGCGCTGTTTCACCATTACGAACAAGCACTCGCTCAGACAACGCCCAATTCGTTATGTGATTAACGAAAGTCCCGAGCGGAAACTTACATTGAAAAAAAAAACCAATGTCAGGCCAATCGTAGAATATCGCATGCTTGCGTACAAGGGATAGAAATAGAATTTTGAGGGTAGGAAGTTAGTGAACTTCCAATGAATCTTTTGCTTCAAACATAATCATGCGGCATACACAGTTTTGCAACCTTGAATACTCTTAGGCCCGTATGCACGTACATCCCCGCGGGGAGGGGAGGGGATCTGAAAGGAAAAGCGTCATATCTCGTTAGTCTATATATCTTTCTTCTTCTTTCTCTGTCTTGCTTTTAAAGGTTTTCATGCACTGATACTTGCGCATAACGCATGCCAGGTTACTGCCATACAAGATTAGATATTCGCTATCTCTTCTGATCCCCTGGGGATCCCCAGGGGATCACCTCACATTTTCAAAGTCATTTATTTTTCTGAAAACTCAATGAAAATGCTTAAAATTGTACTGAGGTTATACTACAGCACCGCTAAACATGTTTATGGTAGAAATGAGTAAAATCTCAAGATATCAAAATCTTCGATGAACCGCTGCGAGCCAAGGATTATCAAAAAAATCAAAACCTTCAGATTCCATTTCTTCTGGCAGTAACCTGGCATTCGTTATGCGCAGGTATTAGTGTATGAGAAACTTTATAAGCAGAATAGAGAAAGAAAGAGAAAGATATGTAGACTAGCGCGATATGACGCTTCCCTTCTCAGATCCCCTCCCCTCCGCGCGGGGATGTACGTGTAAACGGGCCTTAGTGCTCTGAACTGTCCTTAGTACAGCAGTGTTCATTAACACATTCACGACAATACGACCCACCAGCTGTCCTGCCACTTCGGACATTACGACCCATCGGTGAACCGTATGCTTTCTGAAGTTTTGGTTACTAGTTACTATGAAACTTTTCTGGCGTACTGAATGTATTTCTTACATTTAGATTGGGATACTTCCCAAAAGACTAACACTTCAGACCATGGGACCCATAAGTGGCCAGAAAATACAGTGTAGCCTCCAGGCGCCCGGCCTAGGTTTTTTGTCACACTATTAGTCTTGAACCCAACCTATGGGATGTACGAAGCACTATATCTCGTGTGTCGGTTCTGAAATGTCTAGTTCGTTCCCCAACCGTTCCTCAATAGCTTTTCAACAGTTCCTCTATTCACTGTTCCGTATTAGCTCTTCTGTACTACTCTTATTCTCTGTATTTGCATATAAGCTTCTTCTTGTGGTTTGTCATATCTTGTGATAAACCATTTATATTTTACCAGTTGTTTTGCTAAGTCAGTGGAACCTGCGGTCTAGACCGTCCTACCGCCACTTGGGGGCCGAACCGCTGACTTAGCACCGACAACTGTGGAAGCGTCGAAAACCTTCCAGAAGAAGCTGAATTTTGGAGCGTCAACGACCTCCAAAGTCGATTAAGTTTGGGGCGTCAACGACCTCCAAATCGATTTGAAGCGGCGATTGTATCCCGCATAAGCCTATCGCATTTTAGACCGATAGAGTGGTCCCCATATTGGTTTCTGAAGCGGCGGACGTATTCCCGCGCAACCTATCGATCTATTGGTCGATTAGCATTGACGGAATAGAGCGCGCTTAAGGCCGCTTATACGAATTGCAAGAGCTACCGCGAGTGCGTAGCATCAAAGAACCAATACTTTACGGAAGTTTGGTTGAGCTACTCGGTGCATTGTTGTGTACATTCGAGTTTCACGTCGCTCGCTTGTAGTCTCGATCGAATCCTACAGTCAAAAGAGTGTTTGCTGTAGAAAGATTTGAGTAGCATGATGAATGAGGAAGAGGAACATAGAGCCCAGCCAAGTATAGATAACGAAGTGATTAATGAACGGGGAGAAGAGCGAATCCCGTCAATGGCAGAGATGTACAAGGAAATACATGATTGCTTGAACCTCGTAAACATAGAGTGCGAAAAAGAACTGAGCACATTTTTTTGCACAGGTGACAAACGCAGAAAAGCGTTCTTGACAAAGCTAGAAGAGCAAATCGAAATCGCAGAACAGAAATTAAGAGTAATCCTCGAAAGTTCTGTACGCACAAGAGGAGACCTAGGAGGAACGCAGAGTGACTCTGAGATATTGGAGTTCCTTGCAAAGGCTGGGTTGATGTCACCAGAAAACCTGAAACGTTGCCTTAATGAATACTTCACTCACTGTTTATTAATTGCAACCCTGTGTGCAACGCTAGACTGCAGTGAGAAAGACTTGGAGGAAAAGGCCAAGGAAGTGTCAAGTGAGGTTCAGTGCCTCAGGTTAAAGCTCAGAAAATTGAGCAGAGGTTGCGGCTGTCATGCCAGCACGAACCCATCTGACAATGACGCAGATCGGGAAACAGACACTTCAGAAGGCAACTCTGATCATATGGTTCGACGCAAGTACCAAAGATTTGCGAACCTAAATAAGGAAGGTAACATATTTTTATCGAATCGCCAAGTGCCGACAGTGCAGAATGCGCAAGATAGTGCACTGAAGACCTCCTCGCGTGGCAGAGGTTAGAGTTGGGCAGAAGCAATCGACAACAGTTGGACACGGATGTGCATAATGTCCGATTGCAAGATGCGTCACAAAATTTTAATTTCGAGTTTACCATGAGAGAAGTCATGTTGGCGTCTACAGTACCAGACGTAAAACCTTTTCGTGGTAAAGCAAATGAGAGTTTTAGCAACTTTTTGGAATCATTTCTGTTGAAGTACTCAAGGAAGCATTGGGATGATGAAACACTAGTACAACTTCTCAAAAGTTTTCTGAAAAGGGAAGCCTTGAATCTATTTGAGACACTACCGCAAAGTGTAAAAGAAGGCTCCTTCGACGGCGTAGTCCAGGCGATGAGCGAAAGGCTAGCTGAAGGAGGCAACACTTCTCGTGTAAAAGCCTTGGCTACACTGAGGAATCTGAGAATGAAAAGAAATCAGACAGTAAGTGATTTCGGCTATGTACTGGAGAGGACGTGCAGTCAAGCCTACCCTAATGAAGAAAGAGGGGATGGGGTGGCACTCCAGAAAGCGGAACTTCTGTATTTCCAGTTAGCTAATTGGGAAGGAAGCTATATCTTGGCTGAAGCAATTGAGACTAGCCCGCGAGATGTCGTATATGATAGAGTGAAAGAAGCAGCGCTGAGGCTGGAAAGAAACTTGCATAGAAAGGAAATCAAGCAGGACAATGATATGCATACTAAAAGGCTTTATGGCAATCAAGCTTCAAACAAGCAGTGGTCTGATTCAGAATCGGCTGATCATGGTGAAAGAAAGGAAAGACTGACCATGAAAGGCAAGGAAAAAAGTAATCGTTGTTTTGAATGTGGCAAATCAGAACATAAAGCGAACCACTGCACAGTGCAGAATGTCACAAAGGACAATGTAAGAAGAAATGAAGAACACAAGGCAACTTCGTTTTCCACTGCTCTTGATAGGTGGTTATGCGCAACCATAGGTGCCAGGAAGAGTGCTGAAGAATTTGTTGGTAAGAAGTTAGTTGTGCCAGCAAAAGTGATGAATATGGAAGTAAACGCACTTATAGACACTGGCTTCGAGGTATCTATAGCATCATTAAAGCTGTTCACAAGGGCCAAGGAAGCTGGAGTCGATCTAAATGCTTATGTGGAGAGAATCTCAGGAGTAGTATCTAATGCTGTGATACGCGACGCTTCTGGGAACAGAATAGAAATCTTGGAAGCAATCAAGATGCCTACGGAACTGTTTGGCAAGTCCAAGAAGATTCCGATTTATGTCACCAGGTCATTAGGAAATGATCTGATTTTGGGAACAAATGTCCTATGCAACTTTGGTATCAAAGTGATTCGAAGTGATACCAATAGAGACTTGCTCAGGTATTCAGTGAGAGATCCCTCGAATGTAGTGAAAGATCGGACTGATAGACTACTTGGAGGAAACAAGACGAAGCCAAAAGTAGGAAGGAGACTTTTAAAAGGCTTATAAAGAAAAGAAGAAACAAGGCGCACAAAGCGCAGAAAGATGAAACAAGATTCCAAGAATCAAAGCGGAATCTCGGACGAATCAACATTGACCGATATGAAGCAATTGACGAAAGCTATGAAGATGCACAAGCTGAAAAAGAAACAACAGCCAAAGAATAGATTCATTCGTCGATGTCAAACGAATAAGCGTGGAACAGCAAGATGAAGCTGATTTCAACGCATCAGTAAACAAGAATGTTGTGAAAAAACTGAGGAGTTTCAATGCGAAGCGGTATGGAAAAGCGCGCAGAATTACTGAATACCCTCGCGTATTATGGGATTTCCTTGAAATGGTCGACTATGTCAGAGCACATTTCTGCCGAACTAGTCGTACAAGCGAAAAGACACAACGGAATCAAACAGAAAGGAGTGGACACTTGTTGCGGCGTCAGAAATCTGGAAGAAGATCGCTTGGACAAGGATCGCAAGGACATGGACCGCATGGACAAGGATCGCATGGACAAGGAGCGCATGGACAAGGATCGCTTGTACAAGGATCGCAAGGACAAGGATCGCATGGACAAGGATCACATGGGCAAGGATCGTTTGGACAACGACCATAAGGAAAAACAAGGGAGAAGAAATTAAGATAGATCGTTGTTGTTGTAGTTGTTAAGTGTTAATAGTCACAGTTGTTAAGTGTTAGTAGTTGTAGTTAAGTTTAGTTAGATTAGGTTAAGTTAAGTTAGGTCAGGTTTTGTTACGTTTAATAGTTGCTAATAGTTGTTAATAGTTGTTAAGTGTCGGTACGCCACTTAAGATAAGGGGGGACGTGTAGCCTCC